GGGCGGGGTACACCCTGGACAGGTCGCAAGTCCATCACAGGGCAACACATAGAGACAAACAACTAATCACTCTCTCACTCTCACCTACGGACAATTTAAAGTTAACAATTAACCTAACAGTCATGCTTTTGGTCTGTGGGAGGAAGCCGGAGTAACCAGAGAGAACCCACACATGCACGGAGAGAACACGTAAACTCTACCCAGAAAGATCCCCAGGCCAGGATTTCAACCGGCAACCTTCTTGCTGAGAGGCATCAGCTCTATCAACTGAGCCACCTTGCCGCCCAATCCTCATTTTGTATGTGTGATTATGGGCAGATCAGAGGTGACATTAAAGGAATATTTTCCGTATTTGACCATTTTTTTTACAAAGTGACTGGAAAATGTGAAGGCCGTCTGTCATTTTGACAGATTGCAATTAACACTMCTGACCTCTCTCTTCTACCCATCATTTGATAAAGGAATTATGAATTTGGTCAACTGGTCTCTGAATGCAATCGACACTATTTTTTCCACACTGAGACTGGAGCGAAGGGAGCACAGCTGTCCGAGTGGAACTGTTGCGGCGGGCAGTGTGTCTGGGTCCTAGGGGTGGACCCTCATCTGTCTGGCCCCGCTTTCCATCGAGGAAATCGAAGATTTGTTCATATTTGGATTTATGATAATCGGATTCCTGCTGATCGGCTGTGGAGGAGTCCTGGTTTATTGGAAAATGAAAACGATCCTGACAGCAGTCTGGGAATGTCAAAAGCTGGCAGGACCTTGGATGGGATCTCCCGTACTGGAAATGCACAGATTCAGATGCTGGGGGATATAAGTCGCAAACTCGATGTGTTTCTGATGAGAATCACAGCTCAGCAGCGTGCCCATGAGGAGTGAGGCTACACCTGGGTGACGTTTCATACGGTGAGAGGCGAGGACTTTTCCTTTAGACAATATAGACGATTGAATGTGAAATATTATTTGTGATTAGCGCTACTCAATTCTAAATTTAGAAAGAGCAAATCCACACATCATTTGAAGAAACTAGCAAAACCTAAAATGAAAAAGTGAAATTTAGGACCCAAATTAATGCTTTTGCACTTTAGGGGACTTGTGTCCAACACTGGTCATTATATATAGGGGCGGCTGTGGCAGAAAGGCTGGAGTAGTCATTCCGTAACCAGAGGATTGCCTGTTCAATACCCTGCTTCAGCTTTCAGTCATTGTGTCCTTGGGTAAGATACTTTGCCCGCCTTGTCTACTGATGGTGATCAGAGGGTCCAGGGGTGATGGTATAGCAGCCCCATCTTTGTCAGTGTGCCACAGGACAGCTGTGGCTACAATGTAGTTTACCACCATCAGTGTGTGCCTATCCATGCACCTACAAATGTGTCTAATGAATCAATGGTCCAATGGCAACTCAAAGGATGGAGGGGTGTGCCAGCCAGTAAAGGTCAAGTTATTTTAATAGTTATAACTACATGTTTTAAGCCTGATTTGCAGGCTGCAGCCAAAACTGAAGAAACTATTTGGAAGAGAGGCAAAACTGTAAGGTTAGATGAGGTCAGACCCAAAGATKCAGATTTGGGGAATAACTAAAAACATGTTTATTTTCTTGATTTCAATAAAAAAAAATATCTGGCCTGTGGTGTAAAAGATTTTTCCACATAGGGAAGTCAACAACAATTCTTCTCCATAAGTATGATGCTTTAGCAGTTTTAGATTTGGTAGTTCTTTTTTATTTCTACACTTCAAAAACACAAATGTAATAAAAAAGACAGGTGTTTTTTAGGGGTGCAACAATACATGTACCCGTATAGAACCGTACCGAACCGTATCGAACAGCGCTGTATCAAACAATACGGATTTTAAAATTTTACTTTATCAACATGTCTTCTGAAGATGCTCTGTGTTAAAGGATCAGTGGATCTGTGTTCGACTACTCCACCTAGGCTGCATTTTTGAGCGCAGGTCCACTGAGAAACTTGCTGTTTCAGCAACATTTAATTTAAAAACTGTACTTTTGAGGTTAAACAAATGTTCATAATTAATACACAGCGGATAAAATAAGTATTGAAC